TGGAACAACACTCTCATTGCTAGACAGTCGAAACGGTTTATTAATCCGAGCATTTCAATGACTAGCAAAATTCTTTTTCTATCAAAAAAAGATCTCAGTATGTACACTGGTTTAATAACAGGGCACTGTCCATGTAAATATCACTTGAAGCTTATAGGAAAACTTCAAGATGACATGTGTCGATTATGTGGCATAGAAAAAGAAGACTCTGAACACCTACTATGCTCTTGTACAGCAATCTTCAATAAGAGGCGTATTTTTCTTGATAAGGGACTGACAGAACCCTTTGATATTTGGAATTCAGTTCCCAGCCAAGTAGTGCATTTCATTCGAAATGTAATACCTGACTGGGAAAATGCTTTCGGTCAGTCTATGTCGGTCGCTTCATAAAATGGTGTTACGACATGCTGATAAAGCAATATTAAAACGGGGAATATATCACAATAGATCTAAGTACTGGTCGCAGTGATCAAAATACCCAACACGGAAAAAAAAAACATTTCTCACGCCTTCCTTCGGAAAGGGAAGTAAAGCCGTTGGTCCCCGGTTCATGAGTTGATGGATCGATAGGTAGGGTCCAGGTGTGGGAGCTGCCTCCCTGGCGTCGGAAGCATTGGTGCTCAGCACGGAAAAAAGATCGACGGAAAACAAATCAAGAAAAAAAAAAACTTACTCAGATTTCTGCTAATTTCTCTAAGGAGTTGCTTCTTACTACAGCCGTAAGTTTCTTCCGATTTCCTTCGAAAAATTCCCCCAGAAGTTTCTTCCGATTCTCTTTCTGGCTTCCTTTGAATATGTGTACCGACTACTCCTGTTTTTTTTCTGATTTTTTCCAGTATTTTCTTACATCTTTACACGGAAGCTAGTTCCAGTTTAATTATGACTTCACGGTTCTTCTGACTTCCATCGAAAGATTCGACTTGCGACTTACTCCAAAAGTGCTTCTGAGTGCTAGTGATATTCTCATGATTTTTCCGGGAAGCTCCTTCCTACTTACCCCAAAAATCCTATTGACCTGATCGGAAAGTGTGCACCAATTTTCAAACTACCCCAGGAAATTTCTTCCGACTTTCCTGGATGTTTATCTACCGACATATTTTGTCAGCTTCGTCTGGAAATTTCTTCTAACATTTCCGAAAAAAATCAATGGTTCTTTCCGTGAGTTGTGACACATCTGACACATCGTCAAAAATCTCACGATAGCTAATCAATCTATGAAAAATCCTTTTTTCCATCTACTCGCATCGCTCTCAACCTATTCGCAGGAAATGTTCAAATCTTCATCAATCTTCCTTCTACCTAGTAAGTGTGCGCGCATCTCGCAACAGCAAAGCAAAAATTTGCCTGCATCTTAGATAGAATCGCTCCCCTCGGTTGTTTCCTACCTCTCCAAAAAGCATACATTTGATTGATTCTTTCACATCGAAATCATTGATATATTTGATGTTTCAGCTCGATATGACGGAAATACACGCTTGTGCCGAAGTAGTGCTCCACTCTAATTGTCCAAAACTGTTTTTAAAGGCTTCTACGACGCTCCAACTTCTCAGGCGAGAATGACTAATGTTCGCAAATTTGTGTTTATGCGGCAGCCATTCCATTTGACCTGCGTGCTAGGCAGTTGTTCTATTGTCGGCAAATTGAAATCGTCAGCATTAATAGAATAACCTATTTTCGCATTTTTTTTGCTAACTTCAGGCAATTATGCAGTTTTGAGGCGTTTTCAAACCATTTTGGGGATTAAGGTCAAAATCTGTCCTTGAATGTTGGTGGATCGGTAGTTTATGGAATTTCACAGAGTGGGTTAAAGCCAACGAAATTTTGAGAACCTTGGTTCTTTTTGCTTAATTTAATTTATTTGGTAAAGCTCAACTGCCTTACTAAAAAAGTACGGAACCGAAAGCCTTTACAACACTATTTCAAAGCAGTGCCATAGGTGAGCCGTAATAAGTTCTTCTGATGTTTCTTGATTGGTAACTTACCATGTTCTCGCATGTTCTTCAATTTATTCACCCGTTACTTCTTTATACTTTTTGTTAAGACTACCCGTAGAAGTATCCCGGTTCTTTGAATACCGATGTTTCCTGCTGCTGGGTACCACTTGCTTTCCCCACGTTCATTTCCCTCGCATCATCCTCAAGCACCTCTACCACCCTGTCGTAATTTTTGCTGTCCAACGATGAACCTCTCGCCACCACACCACTGTGCTCATCGTCCTATTTTTGTTTTGAAATTGGAATGCTGCTCCGGCCCTTCTGCTGGTGGCAGGAATTCATTCGGTGCATCTTTATCTTGCACAAAAATACTTGTTGTTAATCCCGTCATAGAACATTTTTCCCTTCTGATTGAGGCATTGAAGCGTGGATGGTATATTTTTCTCCACGTTCGTGTATACATCTCGCACGTCTGTGTGCTTGTCGAGGCCCAGATCCACAAGAAATTTCTCCCGGATGACACACATAACTTTTCCGTATCTCCCTAGATAGCGCTTCTCCGTATCTCCCAATGTTCGATAGCTATCCAAAATCGCTGGTTGTAGATCGTAGACTCGCACGTACAGAACGTAGCCTCCCGCAGGTGAAAGGCGTTCCTCCACTGCCTTTCCATCAACATAATGGAAAAGTAAATGCTCTGGATTATGCAGCAATACATGCAAAACAAATTTCTCTTACATCCAATGTAAGGTTGGATTTATTACATCCTCTGCATATGTTTCATTGAAAAAATGTAGTTTTTGCAAGGGACTGCAGCGTACAAGAACAAATTTTCAGAATGCATATTTTTGTATAAAACCTTCACGAGATGATTTTCTAGGCGCAATGCAATCCTACATTTCCCGGTTGGGTGTATTGCATTCATTGTTCTATTCTGAACTGAATGAAGCTAGCCCTCTCCTCCACAATTCGGTACATTGCTTCCATCTCAACGGGATCCGCATCCAGCGCCTTCTCAAAAACTTCCAATTTCGCGCATGGCGGGCATCACACTTCAAAATGAAAATTAAATCCAACTGAACCGCACTCTTTCCTCTCTCGAAGGAAACTGAACCGTCGTTCTATACCGATAGTTAGTTCAACAGAATCTGCCCGGAATTGAGTAAAATCTAGAAAAATGTAAACAAAGCTTTTGATGCCTTGAAATATACCAATGGTTCCTTCAGTGAAATGAGGATGGTCCTATTGTCCAGTAACTGCTATTTGCACCTCCCGCGGGGTCGGCTAGAGTACGAATAACCATAGGATAGATAACCAATACAGTTCTGGGCTGTTGGAATGAGAAGCATGCTTTATCTAAGAGGTTGTGTTTATTCCCAAATACTATCTACCATCTACTGTCACTTTTTTGTCAATAAGTGACACAAAGTGACACTCACAAATTATTAGTCATAACAAGTGTCAACAAAGAGACCCAAGTGACAGTCACATGAAGCGAAAAAGATGATAGACCCTTTGGTCTGATATGATATGATAGCTTCAGAAACTTCGTTACGAACTGTCATATCAATTTGTCAAAAAACTGAATTGAGTCAACCAAACATTCAAATTTCTACCACCGGAATAGAACATCAAATCTAGATAGGGCTGGAATCACTCGTTCTCTCTACCATGACATCAATGAGTGTCCGCTAAAATGTCAGTGAGTTCCAGGAAAATTACCTACTTTCGGGCGCATCCATACAGTTTGATAAATCTGTTGCAACTGATTACCTTAAATAACTGGACACCAATGATTGTGACATTTTTTTTTTTTGAGTTGGCGTGTGTTAACAAAGATTTATTGCACCAAATGTGCCGACTGTTGTTGTCAAAATAAGAAATATGATCCCTTCAAACACGCCAATGTTGCCTGATTGCAGCAGACATCCTGGTTCGAATCATCGCCACCTTTATACAGAGTTCGATAAGAGTGACGCTCACAACTGATACCACCGCTGACTGGCAGAATCACGTGTCACGTGTATCTCATTCTCGTGACAACTTGCTATAAAAACAAACACCAAGCGTTTACCCTAGTTTGCACAATCATGCTAAACAAAAAAGGGCCAGTGTGTTGAGGACACTTCTTATGGAGCTATCTCGCTAATTATCGCGAAGGGAGTGGAAAAAACGAGCGAAGCGTCGCTTCATATTCATCCGTCCATATGCACTATAATTGTTGTGATCCAGTTTGTACGAACTGAAAGGGGTGTTAATTGTCTGCTATGCTGATTCGAACTGCAAACAGCCGATGGAATCGTCCCCAATCGAACTTATATTGGAATCGGTCCCAACCGGATTTTTCTGAGTTAAAGCTCTTGCTGTGGTACGACTATTTTGCTCCAAAATTCACCCACCACATAACACCTTTTTTTTCCGGATGCTCGTGTGAGAAATGCTTTATTTTTTCGTGGCTCGTGCCAGCTTGTATACCTATAGGGGAAGTGTGCCAGTTATGGCTCTAGTACTCCCCTAAAGTTTTCCCAATGTTTTCTACATACATTTTGAACTTTTAGTCCGTATGGCCAATTAGAGGACCACTAGTGCCGTAACTGGTACACTTCCCCTATATCGGTGTGATTGCGATAAGAAAAAAGGGAAACGAGGGAACCCCGGTAAAAGTGAAAACTCATCGCAAATGCCGGCAATAAAGCCGGTCGACTGGCACCTAGCTGAATATGGTCCTAGCACAGGAAACCAACAAACGAAATTGAATATTCCGCTCACATAAAGTAGGGTATGTAGTAGCAGCAGCAGAAGAAGGCGAGGCAGAAAAAAGCAAATGCCAAGGTTAGCCCCACGAGAGCGAGGAAAAACTTTCACTTTCTCGCAAACGAACGGGACGAGTCCTATCTTGATTACGGCACGTGGAAAATTCATTTCCTTTCTACCATACCACAGCTGCACCTCCCCCACCCACCCGAATCGCACATCTCGCTGGCTATTTAATTTCTTGTCAATAATCATTCATGATTAAAAGTTCATTAATCATTATCCTTTTCTCTCCCCCCACGCCCTACGCAGAGCCCCGAAGGAAGCAGTATACCGTCGCTGTGCAGCCCAAACGGATCGGGCTGCCCGGAGGATGAGCTTGCATTTATGACCCTCAACATGGACGATGACGATCTGGACCTATCGATGCGCGCTCCGTACATATCGATGAGCGAAGTGGACGACCTTCCGCTGCTCACATCCGATGACCTAATGTGGGGTGCTCCGGCTGCGTCCGTCGACAGTGCCACAGCGGCTGCCATGGCAGCCGCCGCTGGTAAATATTTAATCAAGGAAGAATACGTACCACCCACCCAACAACAGCTGTCGTCGTCACAAGGTCACTCCGCCACCACCAACACCACCTCATGCTCCTCCCCATCGGTTGGCATGAAATCGTCACCGGTCACGGTCTCGACCAGGATCGCCGACTTCAACAGCAATACTAGCAATAATCACAATAACGAAAACAACTGCAATATCGGCAACAAAATCATCGATTCCAGCCTGGCGGCACTGCTCTGCGGCGGCAATGTCATCAACATTCAAACATCGACAATCCAACTGCAGCAACACCAACAACAATCACAAAACGGCAATAGACACATTTTGGTACAACAGCAACAACAACAACAACAACAGCAACCGCAGGTGATATCGGCGCAGTCGGAAGGCGACAAAAGGTTCAACTTGTTACATCCGATGGTTGTGATTACGCCAAACTATAAGAACAGTAAGTTTAAAGGGAAGCGGGGGCTTGTCCTCAATCTGGTGATGGGACAAGTTTCCTGCCTTTTGGAAGGGAACGGGGTGTGAAACGGTGAAAATGTGGAACTCATGCGCTGTTTGAACGTCATGGAACCATGCGGATTTTTAATTAGAACCGTTGGAGGCGATTTGCTGCTCTTGGGACCATACCGACAACTTGAACAATTTTGAATTTCCATATTAGGTAAAAATTTAAATCCATGTTTTGAATGTCGATGAACCAATCTTCAATTTTCAATAATCTTTGAATAACTGTTCGTCATCGTGAATCAATCAAATTTGTTATGGGATTCGACCATTTTGACTCTAACCTTATTTTTCAGAACTAACCCCATCAGAAGTCGAACTCGTTTCCCTCGGAAGTATCTTTCTGAAGTTTCTTCTAACTTGACCCGGAAAATTCTTCCTAAATCTTCTGAAATTTTCTTTCTGACTGATTCAAACATTTTTCGGTGAACATTTCAAATGGTCCTATCGGCTTTGATCGATTCTCTTCATCGACTTTCTCTTTCGTCAACAAAGGCCCAAACGCAATGTGGGCGGAAGCGGAACGGAAAAGGAAAGTTTGACAGTTGTCACAAATGTCATCAAGATGCCTAATCGAAGTCGATTTGATTCTAACTAGTTTTCAATCCGGTAAGAAGACTTACTCAGATCGGGCTTTTCCGCTGCCGCTGCCGTTCAGCTTCCGCTGTCATTGCGCTTGGGCCTTAACTCAGTTGCAAAACTGTTGTATTTGACGTTTTGGACGCTAGATAAGACCCTCCTTTATCAAACTAGATGGTAGAATTAGCGCGAAATCTGTTTGCATATCAGTGGTTATGAAAAGAGAAAGTCGATGAAGAGAATCGATCAAAGCAGATAGGACCATTTGAAATGTTCATCGAGATTTCTTCGGGCTTTCTCCGTAATATTTATCAGACTCTCTCTGGAAGTTTCTTCCGGTTTAGCCCGGATGATTTAAGTTTCTTCCGTTCTCCCGGATTTTTTTTTTCCACCATTTATAGAAGTTTCTCCAGGATTGTAGATGTTTTTTTTTCGACATAAAATTCCCAACTTCCCAGACCTAAAATTCCCAACTACCCAGATTTATTTACCGAACCCTCCCGGAAGTTTCCACTGACTTTCTTCGGAAGATTCATCCGACTTTTCTTCAAAGTTTTTTCCTATTTCACCCAGAAATCGTTCTGACCTCCCCTGGAATTGTCTTCCGATAATGTCCAGTTTTTGCAAACATCCCGGAAGTTTTTTTTTCTCTCAGCATTTCAGCATTCTATTTTGGCATTTTGACTTCCCCGGAAGTCTCATCTTACTTCTTCTGGAAGTTTCTTTCAATTTTCCCCAAAAACTTCTTTCGATTTAGTCCGAATGATTCATCCTTCTTCCACCGGAAGTTTCTTCCGTTCTCCCGGATTTTTTTCTAAAAGTTTCTCCAGGTTTGTAGATATTTTTTTCTTTCTATATACCGTCTCCTGAAATTCTCAACTCCTCAGATTTATTTACCGAACCATCCGGAAGTTTTCTCTGACTTTAATCGGAAGATTCATCCGACTTCTCTCCAAAGTTTCTTCCGATTTCACCCAGAAATTGTTCTGACTTCTCCTGGAATTGTCTTCCAATTATGTCCAGTAGTTTTTTCAAACTTCCCGGAAGTTTTTTTCTCTCTCAGCATTCCAGCATTCTATTTTGGCATTTTGACTTCCCCGGCCCCGGGAGTCTCATCTCACTTCTTCTGGAAGTTTCTTCCAATTTTCCCCAAAAACTTCATCTAAACTTCACTGGGAAGTTTTTTTTTTCAAGAAAATCTTCGACTTTCCTTTATCCGGAACTTTATTCCTCAGAAGACATTTTGGCTTCCCTCGGAAGAATCTTTCAACATTCTCCGGAAGCTTTTTTTCTGAAATCCTCCGGAAATGTTTCCTTCTGCTCCTACTTTCGACTGGATCTGGAATTCCTTCTGGCTTCAGGAAGAATTGTCTGACTTTCTTCAGAAGTGTTTTACAATTCCGCCCAAAATATTGGTCCGGCTTTCTCTAGAAGTTTTCAACATATCCTGGAAGTTGCTTGCGACTTCCTCCGAAATCCTTCTGAATTCCCCTCAAATTTACTGTGACTTTCCTCGGAAGGTTATCCAAGTGCTCTTCAAAGTTTCTTCCGAGTTCACCCAGAAATCCCTCTAGCTTCCCCTGGAATTGTCTTCCAATTCTGTCCAGAATTTTCGTCAAACATCTCCGGAATTTTTTTTTTTTTTCAAAAAATCTTCGAGTTCTCCTTGAAAGTTTATTCAAACTTCACCTCAAGTTTCTTCCAACATACCTCTGAAGACATTTTGGCTTCCCTCGGAAGAGTCTTTCAACTTTTAAATCCTCCGGAAGATTTCTGACTTCCCCTGGAATTGTCTTCCGATAATGTCCAGAAGTTTTTTCAAACTTCCCAGAAGTTTTTTTTTTTCTCAGCATTCCAGCATTATATTTTGGCATTTTGACTTCCCCAGAAGTCTGATGTCACTTTTTCTCAAAGTTTCTTCCAATTTTCCCCAAAAACTTCATCCAAACTTCACTGTGAAGTTTTTTTTTTTCAAAAACATCTTCGAGTTTCCCTCGGAAGTTTATCCCTCAGGAGACATATTGGCTTCCCTCGGAAGAGTATTTCAACATTCTCCGGAAGCTTTTTCTGAAATCTCCGGATTTTGTTTTCCTTATTCTCCTACTTCCGACTGGATCTGGAATTCCTTTTGGCTTCAGGAAGAATTTTCTGACTTTCTCCGGAAGTGTCTTACAATTCCGTCCGAAGTATTGTTCCGGCTTTCTTCAAAAGTTTTGAAGATATCCTGGAAGTTGCGTGAGACTTACTCCGAAATCTTTCTGACTTCCCCTCCAATTTACTCTGACTATCCTCTGAAGATTCATCAGACTGCTGTTCAAAGTTTCTTCCGATGTCACCCAAAAATCCCTCTAGCTTCCCCTGGAATTGTCTTCCGATTCTGTCCACAATTTTCGTCAAACATCTCCGGCAGTTTTTTTTTTCACATCATTCCAGAATTTGATGTTGCACATCATCTCACTTCTCCCGAAAAATTCCAGTTTTCCCAAAAACTACACCGGGAATTTTTTTTCAAAAAATCTTCGAGTTCTCCTCGGAAGTTTATTCAAACTCCACCTCAAGTTTCTTCCAACATACCTCTGAAGACATTTTGGTTTCCCTCGGAAGAATCTTTCAACTTTCAAATCCTCCGGAAGTTTTCTGACTTCCCCTGGAATTGTCTTCCGATAATGTCCAGAAGTTTTTTCAAACTTCCCAGAAGTTTTTTTTTTCTCAGCATTCCAGCATTCTATTTTGGCATTTTGACTTCCCCGGAAGTCTCATCTCACTTTTTCTGGAAATTTCCTTAAATTTTCCCCAAAAACTTCATCAAAACTTCACTGGGAAGTTTTTTTTTCAAAAACATCTTAGAGTTTCCCTTGGAAGTTTATCCCTCAGGAGACATATTGGCTTCCCTTGGAAGAGTCTTTCAACATTCTCCGGAAGCTTTTTCTGAAATCTTCCGGATTTTGTTTTCCTTCTTCTCCTACTTCCGACTGGATCTGGAATTCCTTTTGGCTTCAGGAAGAATTTTCTGACTTTCTCCGGAAGTGTCTTACAATTCCGCCCGAAATATTGTTCCGGTTTTCAACATATCCTGGAAGTTGCTTGAGACTTACTCCGAAATCCTTCTGACTTGACCTCAAATTTTACTCTGACTTTCCTCGGAAGGTTCACCCGACTGCTCTTCAAAGATTCATCCGATGTCACCCAGAAATCCCTCTGGCTTCCCCTGGAATTGTCTTCCGATTCTGTCCAGAATTTTGGTCAAACATCTCCGGCAGTTTTTTTTCACAGCATTCCAGAATTTGATGTTGCACATCATCTCACTTCTCCCGGAAAATTCCAACTTTCCCAAAAACTTCACCGAGAAGTTTTTTTTTTCAGAAAATCTTCGAGTTCCCCTCGGAAGTTTATTCCAACTCCAATTCAAATTTCTTCCAACATCCCTCTGAAGACCTTTTGGCTTCCCTCGGAAGAGTCTTTCAACTTTCTCCGGAAGCTTTTTCTGAAAGCCTCCGGAATATTCTTCCTTCTTCTCCTACTTCTGACTGGATCTTGAATTCTTTTAGGTTTCAGGAAGCATTTTCTCCGAAATTCATTTTAACGCTCTTGGGTCATTCGTGATTTGTCTGGGGGTGAGATTTGAACTCGTGACTTTGGCGTGAGAAGTTTCCTCTGACATTCTTCGGAAGATTCATCTGACTTCTCTTTAAAATTTCTTCCGACATCGACCTGAAGTCCTGCTGCATTCCCCTCGAATTGTTGTCTGACTTTTCCGATAAGGTGCTCCAAACTACCCCTTTTATCAGTTCCGTCTGGAAGCTTCTTTCGACTTCCTCCGGAAGTTTCTTCCTGCTTCAATTGGAAGTTTCTACCGATTTACCTCAGCAGTTCTTCTTGCTGCTTCTAGAATTGAGCTTCTCCTGGATTTTTTTTTCGACTCCAGAACGACTTAGGATTATCTCGATTCAACTTTCTCCGGAAGTTTCTTCTGACTTCCGCCGGAAAACTCTTCCTAATTCCTCCAGATTCAATAATTCTTTCAGGCGTTTTTGGGAAGATTTGCCTCACTTTTTCAAGAATTGTTTTCTGATTTAGCCTGGAAATTTGTTGTAACTTCCCTCCAACGTTGTCTCGGTTAACTCTAGAAGTTTCTTCAGGCTTCCTCTGTAATCCTTTTGGTTTCACCTGAAATTTCCAGCATCCCAAAAAGTTCTCTTTTTGGATCTCTCCCAGAAAGTGTTTCTGAATAGTCTCGGAAACTTTTTTATTATTACTATAGTCACTTTAACACTATTGGATCATTCGTGACTTGTCTGGGGGTTAGATTTAACTCGTGACTTTGGCGTGAGAGGTATGGATGTTAACCTCTACGCCGGG